GTTCCATCCCCAGCCGCCGCTGCCGCTGGCAAGGGCCGCGGTGGCAGCGGGCCCTGCGCCATAGATCCATGGCGGGTGGTCGCCGCGATATCCCCTGTGAGGCGGAGGTGGTGTTTCATGCAGGGAGGCCGGGGGCGGCAGTCAGGGCGGCGCCCCTGCTGCACGGCGAAGATTGAAGCCTCCATGGCCGGCGGTGACCTGAGGTTGGGTGGTAGTGGTGGTGGCGCTCCATTTAGCGACGGTGGCGGCTGCGTGCAGATGGGTGGCCTAGAGGGTTGCGGATCTGGCGTCCTGCCCGAATCCGTCATGGCACCCCAATCGTGATGCTCCAAGGGAAACCCTAGATCTGGATCTACCGGATCGGACGATAATGCCACCTTCAATGTCGTTGTCCCTCTTGGGGGCATCGTCTTGGAGAAAGTGCTGGTTGGTCGGGACAAGAGGAGGAGTGGTGTTACATCTACCGCAAGGCCGACAGCGGATCCCGGCGGCATGGCGCTGCGGAGGTTCGACGACGGGCGCGTCTGGACGGATATGTGCAGGATGGTGGTGTTGTCTGGCGTCGTGGTAGTGTCGATGGCAGGCCAGGCAAAGTGGATGCGTCAGTCCCTGCTCTGGAGATGGGCCGGTGGAAGATGGCGGCGGCAGCCTCTAAGAGTGCGCAGGACCGGTGTAGGTCCCAGTCCCAGTGTGTGGCGGGGCTGGGGCATCCAGTTATAGATGTTAGGGTTTGTGCGATGTTTATTTGGTATTCGGTCCGGACATTTGGCACACCTTCATTAAGGGGATAGTGGCTTCAGGCTGAGTGATGTATTACTTTATATGGTCTTTATGAATAATTAATAAAACGCCTGCATGCGTCGTTCAGATGCAGAGGCCGGAAGTATATCCTCCTTTAAAAAAAATATACATCCGATTAAAAAAATGTTAGAACATCTTATATTTGTGAACAAAAGGAGTAAAGAAGATTGCAACAGAAAACAGCTTTCCTAAAGCACATCTATATGCCATAAATATTGCACATTTAAATCCTATATCATTGATCTTGCGTGACGATTCGTATTGATATTTTCTTTTTATGCTTGATTGAGTTACTTTGATGTGCAATAATCAGAGAACATTTAGACGTGCCTTAGGCACACCCAACAGAAAAAACGCAAAATTAAAACCAGATTTTCTATTTTACATCTAGATGTATAATAGTTATCTCACATCTATCTTTCGAACCAAATGATTCAGTCATTAAGATCTGGGTTTTTTTTTTGTGTGTGTGTTGTTCCTATACGCATCGCTCGTGCGAGAGGCCACCTCAGTGGCGTTTAGGTCCTTTATTTCACAGCCTCACGTATTGCCTTAGCGTGGGTTCCGGCCACAAGCGTTTTTTTTATCTTCTTTCTTTTGTTTCTTTTTCCTTTTTCCTTCTTCTTCTTTTCTTCTTTTATTTGTTTCAAATTCATAAAAAATATTAATTTTATGTTTTCTATTTTTCTTCTTTTTTTCTCCGTTCTTTTTTTTGTTTCTTTTAAATTCATGATTTTTTTCATATGTGTTAGTTGACTGTCTATCACCAAACAAGGGTTGTTTTTTTCTTGTCACAATTGCAAGTCTATTCACAACTTTTAACTGGATCTTGAGTTTTCTTTTTGTCCCAGTTGCAATTGCACCCTCGATTCGCAACTGGGCCTTGACATTTTTTTGTTCAGTTACAAGTCCACCCTTGACTCGCAAGGCCGAACTATTTTTGTCCTTGTTGCAATCCCAACCTTGACTCACAACTGGGCGTCAACATTTTTTTGTCTCAGTT